TTCAATATTCAGAAGGGAGGAATGGCTTATTTCACAGGTGGACATTAGAGGCTCTCGACAGAAAAGACCTATAAGGGATATATTAATTCATTCATTTGACATACACCTATTGAATGCTTACATCATGTATCTAATTCTTATAGCTCCTTGCACCATGTTTCTTAGCATAAAGTCAGGAAGGCTTCTTTGGAATAAGAACTTTTGAAATATTTGAGTATACAGGTTGGCCATAAAGTTCATGTGCAATTTTATATTGCACACTATTTCACCCTGTATATTCATTTAGTGAGAAAGTTCATCTAGTTTCCCAGAATTGCACAGATTTCTATTGTCTATTGTATACCACAAAAAGAATATACAAAATAAAGAATCTCCAAGTTGTAGTTTCTGTTTTCAATGTAATTACTGTCTAATTGGGAAGATGAAGTAAGTATAAAGCCAACTAAGGCAGAATATTGTAATCAATGAGCAGTAAATATAATAGATGTTGTAGAACCTCAGTGACGAGATTTTTGTGTGACAGGGTAAATCAGAGAAAGACTTTAGGGAGGTGGGACTGAATCTTGATCTTGTAAACTGAATAGAAATTGCCCAGATAGACCAGAAGAAGACAAGCTTTCAAATAGATAAAACCATGCCAATGTGTCTTTGAAGTAAGGACTGTCATAAGGCTTCCTAATGATGAAAAACGGATTAATCTGGTTTGAACATATACTTAGCTCTAATGATATCATAGGAGTTAGAGTTTGAAGGGTGGATTGATGCTAGATTGTGAAGGGCTTTAAATTCCAAACTGAAGACCTGGACTTTATCTTGCAGAAAATGCCATACATTTTTTGTTTGTTTGTTTGTTTTTTGAGACAGAGTCTCAAGCTGCTGCCCTGGGTAGAGTGCCGGGGCATCACAGCTCACAGTAACCTCCAACTCCTGGGCTTAAGCAATTCCCTTGCCTCAGCCTCCCAAGTAGCTGGGACTATAGGCACTCGCCACAAAGCCCAGCTGCTTTTTGGTTGCGGTTGTCATTGTTGTTTGGCAGGCCTGGGGATTCAAACCCACCAGCTCCAGCATATGTGACTGGCATCCTAACCACCTGAGCTACAGGCACTGAGCCCACATTTTGTTTTAAAGAAGAGTGGTGACAAATCGTATTTTTAAAAGTTTGTGTCGTTTGAACACTTTCCATGGATATTTTGAAGTCTCAGAAAATAACAAGCTGCCCAGAAATTTGTCTTGGTTGGTTTCAGATTATTGCATGCCATTGTCAGCTCCTTACTAACCAAGAACATACATATTGCATAGATTATTGTCTTCAACAGATTATAATCTCAGTACACTTGCTGAAAAAAACTCACAATGACTGGATGCAAATAAAATGCGTAATTAGAACAGAAAGAGCAGGGATGAGTTCATGTAGTCCTTGACTAATGGCCAGTGAATTTTACTTTGAGTGGGACTAAATTCTAGGACTTAGTTTTCTTTGCAGAAAAGAATGAGAACAATTAAGTGCATATCTGAAGTTTATAAAACAGGAGGGCTATGATCTTTGATAGTACTAAGTTTTAAAAAATGGGGGTAGTTTTAGGGCCATCTCCTTCAGTGAATAAACCTGGGTTGACAGGAAGGAGCTCCATGGAAGAGTTTGGGAGATAAAAGGAGAGAAAGAAGTTCAGGGCTGGGCTGGCTGTCTAGAAAGGAAAGATGTTTGAAGAAGGAACTATGTTCTGATAATATCCTTCATCAGTTAATTTTTCCCTGTTTTCTGTTACCCAAAAATAGAAGTTGTGGTGTGTTTTAAGAGTGTCAGTTGCACAAGATGAATGTTAGAATAAAGTATTTTTTTTTTTTTAGTCCTGAAAATAACCTTGGTCATAGCTATTCCAGTCTCATAATTTGAAATGTAAAATAATGGAAGCACAGAATGGTTAAAGGGCTTGCATAAGAACACACCAAATAGTAAGTGAAGAAACAGGCTAGAAAGAATACTTCATCCCTGTATGAATATTGCCTGGACCAATGCCTGGCTCATAGCAGGAGTTCAATAAATATTTGTTGAGTGAATGAATGAATATGAACATAAGGCTTTTGACTCCTTCTAGTAGTCTTTCCACCACACTGTAGAAACTATGGCAGATTTAATAAAAATGATCTTTGAGCAATCATGACCTGCTTGTATAATATTAAAGGATAAAAGATTATCACAATACAGATAGGCTTACCTAACAATATATTCCCATTTTATTAATACATGATATATTAGTTTTCTAGAGCTGTCATAACCCAGATACCACAGATTTCATGATTTAAATGATATGAATTTATTTTCTCATAGTTCTGGAGTCTAGAAGTCCAAAATTAAGGTATTTCCAGGGTTGGTTTCTTCTGAAAGCCTTGATAGAAGGATCTGTTCTGAGACTTGTACCTGGGCATATTCCCCCTGTATCTTCACATTATCTTTCCCCCTGTGTCTGTGTCCAAGTTTCTTCTTCTTATGAGGAGACCAGTCATACTTGATTAGAACCCAAACTGATAACCTCATTTTAACTTAATTACCTCTATAAATACCATATTTCCAAATATGGTTATAATCAGAAGAAATAAGGGTTAGGACTTCAACACATAAACCTTCATGAGGGAGGGGTACAATTCAGCCCATAGCACATGAAGACCAGCTTTTCCATTATAGTATATTGAACCCTCCACTTGACTCCTCAGCAGCAGACAAGCAACCAAACTTATATTAATAGAGCTCCTGGTTTATTATTAAGCAGGCAATTGCCCACCAGGCTCAAGGTTCTGCTCCTGCATGTACATTGCTCTGGTGGAGCAGGGTTGGCCTCCACATTTTCCTAGTATTCTAAAAGAATAGCCACAGGACATAGAATGTCTGGCTGACAAATTTTTTAAATTGCATGGTATTATAACGTGATGAAATAATACTTTATTCTTTGGAAATTGGCTTTTGCCCCTTCTTTTAAAGGGTTACCGAAAGTCTGTAGGGCTTTATTTTTACCATAACTATTATTGTTAAACTGTATCTTAGTTGATGAGTGTATATTTCTTTTTTTTTTTTTTTTTTTGAGACAGAGACTCAAGCTGTCCCCCTGGGTAGAGTGCTATGGCATTACAGCTCACAGCAACCTCCAACTCCTGGGCTCAAGCGAGTCTCCTGCCTCTGCCTCCCAAGTAGCTGGGACCACAGGCGCCTGCCACAACGCCCGGCTATTTTTTGGTTGCAGCCGTCATTGTTGTTTTGGCGGGTCCAGGCTGGGGATTCGAACCCGCCACCTTGGGTGTACGTGACTGGCGCCTTAGCCAGTTGAGCTATAGGCGCCGAGCTGATGAGTGTATATTTCAATAGCATCTTGAGGCACAGCATATATAAGGAGGCTCTGTAATAAGCACCCATTGAGAAGATCCTAAGGAAAGCCAGTGAGAGTTTTCCAGGGTTTTTTGAAAATTCTTAAGTAATTAAAAGCATATATAGTAGAAATTCTGTATGTTGACCACCCAAGGGACTGTAACATACTGGACAACATATGGAGATAGTCAACCTAAGGAATTAGGTCTACTGTACTGATATATACATGTGGGGCTTGTCCAGTCTATGAAAATTAGGTCAGTTTATAAGGAGGTGGTCAACTATGGAGATTCTGTTGTATTAACAAACATTGGGAGCACCAGTTTTTGTCATGACTAGTGAGTAACTGTAAAAAATGGCACAGAAAGCTGTGGGGTCAAGAACAAAAATACTTAGAAAAGATAATCTCAGTGTGGGGATAGAGATAATACAGGTCCAGAAAAAACTGGTTGTGGAAAATAGAGGATCCTCCACCCTTTTCATATTTGGACATAGATAATAGTAACAAAACACCCTTAAGTGATGTGAGTTTCCAGATCACTAGACCTTGAGTTAAAATTCACACATAGTTAAAACAGACAAAAATAATTCATTGCCAAACATTTATTATTAATTTTTCACACAGTCCAATTGTCTCAACAAGAATGTCTCCAAGGTAGTACCAGTAAGCCTCAAAGGATTGTGGGCTGATGAATCTTGTCAAAGAGCCTCTACAAACTTTCCCTTCTGTTCACACATTTCCCCTTCCCTCCCTCCCCAACATGCTCTTGGTGATCTCTTATTGGCCCTAGAGTAAGTTAAATGTTTATAGGATTTTAAGTAGGTTTCTTCTAAGTTAAAGTTAACAAAGATTAGTAATATTCTCTAACCCAACAAAACTTAGGGGAATAGAATTGAATACTAGAAACTACAGCAGACAGTTTTAAAATTTGATCTCTGAAATTGTTTGAGAAACACTTTACTTTTGCTTCAGGAAATTATAAGTGGGGCATTACAAAAAATCAAATTCTAAGTATTGAAGCTAAATCTTATTCTTAACAGATATTTCTCCAGTTATGGACTGACTTCACAGGGAGTTTTTCTGCAGAAGTCACCCCCTTTCTCCCAGCAGTATTCAAGATTGTAAAAATTCAGTCACCTGGAATCTGTGCTAATTATGCCATAAAAGATTAAAAGCTATTTGGAGGCAAAGATTAATGAAATTTAGTGTAAAGAAGAAATATCAATGTAAACATTAAAAACATCTGAACTCTTCACAGATGGATCAACCATTAAATAGACCTATTGTTTTGAACTTCAAATTGCTGTATTTAGTCTCCTTACTTCTGAAAATGATGAATTAACGTGTTTCTCAAACAAAACTCCTTAAACAAATCAAAAGATGTATATGTTTTTAAGAATGCACACATCTGCACCAAAGAGTAAAGACATCTTTCAGGAAAGAACTACATCAGGGAGAATAAAAGGCATGAGTACAAAGTACATAAAATGGATGTACTTTAGGATGTTGGAAGAGAAGACACATTTTAATAGCAAAGAATTTCCCACAACCAGAAACAGTTGAGGTATCACTTGGTACCCAGTGTTTTTCATTTTTGTTTGCTGGACGCTTTGACAGGTGTCAGGACATTGGCAGAATTTCTTAAGGGCGGTATTGAGATCTCTGCTCCTGGATGTACTCATACAGAGGGCTGGAGCGCACTGGGACATAGGCGAACTGACGCGTGCCAGGTTCGAGCACCTGCCCATGGCCCTTGTCTTCCCGGGATTTTCTCTCCCGGACTTGGCGGCGCCTTTGCTCCTCCTCTTGCTGGCGGCGGAGCTGTTCTTCCTCCCGGAATTTCCTCTCCAGTTCCTGGCGACGACTCTTCTCCTTGGCCAACTGCTCCTCCGCCAGGTATTGTCCGTCTTGTCCCCGCCGACGCTTATGCTCTTCCCGTTCCTCAAGCTGCAACTGTTGCTTTTCCCTGGGGAACTTTCTGTCAAGCGCTTGGCTACGCAGCTGCTCCTCTCTCTCCTGGAGGAGCTGCTGCTCCTCACGGAACTTTCTGCCACGCACTTGGCGATGCAGCTGCTCTTCTCTCTCCTGGAGCTGCTCCTCCTCATGGAACTTTCTGTCACGCGCTTGGCGAGGCAGCTGCTTCTCTCTCTCCTGGAGGAGCTGCTCCTCCTCCCTGAACTTTCTGTCACGTGCTTGGCGACGCAGCTGCTCTTCTCTCTCCTGGAGCCGCTCCTCTTCACTGAACTTTCCGCCACGCAGCTGCTCCTCTCTCTCCAGGAGGAGCTGCTCCTCCTCACGGAACTTTCTGTCACGCGCTTGGCGACGCAGTGGCTCTTCTCTCTCTTGGAGCTGCTCCTCCTCAGGGAACTTTCTGTCACGCGCTTGGCGCAGCTGCTCCTCTCTCTCCTGGAACCGCTCCTCTTCACGGAACTTTCCGTCGCGCTCTTGGCCACGCAGTTGCTCTGCTCTCTCCTGGCGGAGCTGCTCCTCCTCACGGAACTTTCTGTCACGCGCTTGGCGCAGCTGCTCTTCTCTCTCCTGGAACCGCTCCTCTTCACGGAACTTTCTGTAGCGCGCTTGTGGACGCAGCTGCTCTTCTCTCTCCTGGAGCTGTTCCTCCTCAGGGAACTTTCTGTCACGCGCTTGGCGACGCAGTTGCTCTTCTCTGTCCTGGAGCTGCTCCTCCTCATGGAACTTTCTGTCACGCGCTTGGTGACGC